GAGGAGGACCAGGGGGAGGAGAAAAAGCTGGATGTAGGAGGGAAGCCCAGAGATCCTGATCACGCAGCAACAAAAGTAACACGAGGGAATGGTAGCAGGGTAGGAACCCATATGCTGTGTGTTAATCCCTTGGACAGGGCACAAATTGGACAGCCCTGGTCTAGATGGAACTACTGTAAAGTGGATACATAACTGGTTGGGTTACTGGGTGCAGCAAATAACTGGGAAGCCAGTTGCTGGATTCTTGAAGTTGGCAATGGATCACAAAGGCTTCAGGGTGTCACTGGTACTCAGACATGAATAAATGGATTTTCTTTATGCATTTAAACTGAGTTTTTTCAAACATGCTAAGAGTACAAGCCCTCATTGAGGAAGGGGAGTGCAATCATTTAAGCTAACAATAGTGCTTATGCACCTCAATATTCCCTTTCTAATCAATAGCATCATAGAATAATAGAGCTGAAGTGGAGCTCAGAGGGTCAACTACTGCAACTCCCTGCCTAGGGCAGAATAAACCATATTTAAACCATCTTAGACAAATGTCTGTGTGATCTAGTAAAACTTCCAAAGATGCATACTTCACAACCTCTGCAGATAGTCCGAGGGTGGGCAGTTATTTTGGCTGGAGGACGCTTTAACGAGTTTTGGTGAGTTGTCAAGGGCCACAAGGGTAGCCCTGCCCCTTGACAGGTGCCCCACCCGTAGTCACCATCTTAGGATCTGAAGTCCTGCCCTTTAACCCCTGACCTTTGTATAGAGGCAATTGCATAATAGCTCAAAATATAGCCTTACTTTTGTATATTGTGTGAGGGGGTGGGGGGTAAGGGGCTGTATGTGAGGTGGCGGTGTGGGTTGTGGTTATGGTGGGTGGGAGGGTCGGTGTGGCGGGTATGTGGGAGGGGGTGTGAGTGTAAGGTTATGGTGGGGGGGAGTGTGTGCAGGGGCTGTGGGAGGGTGTGGAGGGATGGGAGGGTGCAGGGATGCATGTGTGTGGGGGAGGGGAGGTCCTTGGTGTCCCCATAGTGTGCAAGTCCCTGGAGCTGCATGTGGTGGCAGTGAGTGGGGCCAGCCTTGCCCAGCCCCGTAGGGTGCAGCTCCTCATGCTCCCACCCCAGTCCCTGGCTGCACATGCTGGTAGTGTTCAGGGCCAGCCCCATCTGGCCCAGTAGCGCTCCTGCCCAAGTCCCTGGCCACACTTGGTGGCAGGGTGAGGGGTCAGCTCCACCCAGCCCCATAGCGCACAGCTCCCCATGTTCCCACCCCAGTCCCTGGCCACACGTGGCAGCAGCGTGTAGAGCCAGTCCCACCTGGCCTGAGAGCGTTCCTGCCCGAGTCTCCGGCCACACAAGGTGGCAAGGTGAGGGGTCAGTTCCACCCAGCCCCATAACACGCAGCTCCCCATGCTCCCACCTGAGTCCCCAGCCACACAAGGTAGCAAGGTGTGAGGCCAACCCACTCAGACCTATAGCACACAGCTCCTCATGCTCCTGCCCAAGTCCCCAGCCTCATGTGCTGGCAGCATGCGGGGCCACTCCCACCCAGCCCCATAGCATGCAGCTCCTGTGCTCCCACCCAAGCCCACAGCCACACATAGTGGCAGTGTGCAGGGCCAGCCCCACCCAGCCCATCGTGCACAGCTCCTGCAGCATGCGGGCCAG